AAGAGGCAAAGGGACAACTGTGATACCAGAACATCATTATGCGCCTCCCCACACAGCTGGCTAACCACCTTCCAGTCCAGTGAGTTAAACATAACACACTCTGCCTTGTCTTATCACCCAAGTAACAGAGAACAAGTGCCACCTTCCGTGTCACACATGAATCATCTACTTTCTTCTCCATTATACCAACTAAAAAAGCCCCAATCAACTGAGCTTTCCACAACCGTAATTCTTTTCTATTTGCACCATTAAAAGTACCCAGAAATCCTCCCTGGTCAACATTTTTATAACACATCTAGATTACAGCATTAAAAGGACCTACAAATGTATCTCCTGTCCAACTTAAATGTTAACTTTAAATTAGCTTTAAATTTTAATGGCTTCCAATGCCTATCATGCATAAATACACTTAAGTGAGGTCTAAAAACAGTCTGGACCATTTGGATAACAGCAATGTCAACAGAGCCCACAAACATTGCATCTGCCTGCTTGAGTTCACTGTTTTTACATCCTAGTCAAAATTGTAAATGCATTTGCTTTTTTTTGCTTTTCTCTCTGAAAATCTTGGAAACTTAAAGGCAAAGCCACAAGCAAACATGTTGATGCTATACAGTTAAACAATGTATTTTCATTTTAAGGATCACAAAGCAATTTAAAGAAAGCATATTTGCATATGGAGCCCAAACTCTTCCGAGAAAAACAGGTAAGTTATATGCTGGGAGAAGAGCAAAATGAGACAAAACCTAGTAAGATTACCGGCTCAAAATCACTCAAAGAAAAAATGTCAGACTGAGGAACACAAACTATTCCAACAGACCATGAAACTTCCCAAGCACTTCCCCTGAAATGAGGGGAAGTTACTCAAAAGTTTTCGAACTACTGCACACGTGCACAGACACTTTACATCAGGTTTGCAACATAAACACAGCAATTCCTACTGCATGTAAGAACAAGGCAGCATGATGGCAATTATTCAGTTCAGAGCTTGCCCTTACACTTAAAATAACAAAGGAAGAAATAATGTTACCTAATTTTTTTCCCTGCAATCGTAAGTGGGCCACACCTGAAAGTTGTAGTTGCATGAGCCCAGAAATCTTTTTCTTCAGTCACCACAGAAACTAATATAGGAACTCTAGTGATTTGTTCCCTTGTTTTCAGTAAAAAATTTACATATGAATTACACACCAAATTCCTTCAGTCTAATAAACTGTTCTGAACTCGCATGAACAAAATACCGCTTCTTCATTATCATCCTCTTCTTGCTGCTCTTTGCTGTATTTACAAAAAAACCTGTATCTCTAAAGCTAGCAGCATGCACAGTGGTTAAGTCTATCTCTTGCCCTGATTCCATGGATGGAAACAGAAGTTTGGAAATATATCCTTACATTTCAAAGGATTTTAGATTCCCAGATTTCCTGCCAGACAGGCCTGCTTGTTAAGTCCCTGCCTTGTGTGTAAGTATTAACACAGCAATTTGTACTAGTCAAGAAATCATCTGATGCAACTGAGCTGATTCTCAAAGGCATAAAAAAATTGCATATAATAGCCTACATAAATTACTGATGTTCGGGATCTGACTGGAAGACTGAAATACTGAAGTATTTTCTGTTACTTTTCATATTAATTAATTACCATTAGAGAGAGAACAAAGAGCACACACAGAGGCTAGAAACAGCACGTGAGTCTCCTAGGTGTTTCCCGTGACAGAATACAATTCAAATATTGTTTTTGCACTCAAGAACAGAAATGCAAACATTTCATAATTTCACTGTGTATGGGAAATCAAAACAAACCTTACCTTATTTAAAAATATCAATTTTAGTAAAAATTCAGGCTGTGCTAGTACAGGGTGGCAGGAACCAGGCCATTCTCCTTCGGCAGATTTTTCCAAATGCCCCTGTGCTCAACTAAGTCTAACTCCACTCTGTTTTGTTTCCCCAGGAGGACCCATTCAGGACCATGTGCTCCTTTTCAGCTGTCAATAAACAGAAGCGGTGAATTCCCCAGCGCTTCACAAAGCTAGTTAGGCATAGCCATTCATTTCTTTGGGAAAACAGGGCATTGATTTCAGCAAATTCCCAGGGAGCAGCTACAACAAAGAGATCAAAGACCCACCTCCTTTCTGGCCTGGCTTTGGCCGGCTGGGCTGAGAGGAGCAGCAACAGGTTTCCGAAGAGCAGGCTTGAGCCCCACTGACCACTGCATGCTCCATTCACACCCGTCACCTTCCTACATTCCCGGGACAGCCCCTGGCGCTAACCGTGACAAACCCCTACATTCAGGCAGCATAATATACTGCACACTAGTTCATCCAAGGATAAAAAGAAAAACAAGCTCCAAGGGAAGTCTGCTGCTTCCCCAACCAGTCGAGCCTCAGTAGCTGCCAGATTTTCCATAAACTCCTTTTTTTGTTGTTTGTTTTTTTGTTTTCTAGCTTCTCCATCTAAAACAGAGAAACACTTGCTACCTCAAATTCATTGTGCTGAAACTTCACTGGAATGTTGGCTTTTTTGGTTTATTTCCATGAGCTTGAAGACTTAGCTGCTGGAGTTTGAGGTCTAGCTGCAACAGCCCTTGTATTGTGCAGCCATGACATTTTCTTTGTGCAATTTGCCCAGAAAGCAGTGGTTTTTTTCCCCAGGAAATTAAGGGGGTTTATTCTGGTTTGGTTAGATTTTTTACTTTTTTAATTATGCATCTTGTCTTCATTAATGTGACCTGGAACAAGATTTTTAATACTAGAATTTGACCTTGTATTGAACCAAGCATTAGGAAAAGATGATGCTGTGGACAAGCTTAAGGACTGGTGGTTAGGCTACACATCTACTACTAAACAGTAAGAGACGGAGATTGGTTCTTATGGTGCAGTGACCACTTGGCATCAGCTCCATGTGTCTAAATGCTCCTCATGTCCTTCTCTCTTCCCCAACAAACAGTCTGGTTATATCCAAATTCCCTACCTGGAACACAGGCTGGTAAATATTATCCCCAAAACACACCATAGTGTTGCTTGCTAGCATAGGACAGTACTGAGCTCATGGGCTGGCTCTGAAATATTTATTCATATAAATAGAGTCTAGAGTCACTTCACATCTGTACAGATCTGCTGTTTTATTCTTTAGCATTCTCCTGTGCACTGACATTTTACCAAGGCACTGCCTGGCTGTCACAAGTACCACATGCCTGTGTACTCCCACCAGCTTGAACTTGTAAAGGCCCCTCAGTGCTGGTACTGCCTCGGGGCCATTCTCACATGTCCAAGTAAGAAGACAAATCTCTATCCCACTAGCATGACCAAGTATCACAGGACCTGGCACAGTGCAAGCAGTACAATACTGAGAAGACCTGGGACAGGTGGTAGGGATGACTGACCATTGCACAGAAGATAGCTGAGGACACCAAGAAATACAGAACTGTAGAATTAGCAAAGTTGCAAGAGCCCTGTGAAGATCAACTAGGTCAGCCTCTTGCTGAAAGCAGGCCATTAAACAGCATTACCCAGGGCCTTGTCAAGCTGTATCTCAAATACTTCCAGTGAGGGACACTCCACCACTTCCCTGGGCAGCCTATTTGAGGGTTCAATCAATCCCACAGTGAAAATACTCCTTGCATACACAAGCATCTCCCCTGAAGCAACTTGTGACCATCATCTCTTGTCCTGTCAGAGCATATTTGGGGAAAGGGTGCTTCCAACTCCTTTTCCAAACCACCATTTTGTACTGGAAGACTAGTTCTATGACTAGATGCCCTTGAACCTTCTCTTCTTTGAGGTGAACACACCCAGCTTCTTCAACCTCTACTCAGGTGACAACTTCTCTAACCCACTGATCATCGGGAGAAACATGAGAGAGGTACTGAGCTGAGAAAAGAAAAAATAAACTGACAGGGCATAAAATTGCTAAAACAGACAAACCAGCTTAAACATCTGAGCACAGTTGAGGAGTCTTGACCCCAACTACTATGCAAGTCTCTCCATTCTTTAAATTTTCACTCCTGACAGAAGTTCTGCCTGTTGTATACAGTACAGTCAGGTATACCACATTCCTTATTTTAGACTTCTCCATGTATCTAAATGGCATTTAAGCATGCCCCAAAATTGCCAGTTCGCAGTTAAAGCTCAAAAAATGCACAAATAACTCGATCTTGAAGTACAGATATAACCCTCAGAGATAAATGCTGCCACGCAGCCACTGATGGGTTTATATCTATTAACTGAATACAAACATTAATTAAAAAAATATTGTTTTCTTTTGTTCCTCTGAGGAAGTTTTAAGGAATGATAAAATTGGTTTCTGAAATTCCCCTCTCTTATATTGCACAGTGTGCAGCTGGGCAGCCCTTGGAAGCAATGATAAAAAATGGCAGCTGAGGCACTGGAGGGACTCCAAAAGAAAGCATGTAGATCAGATCAATAAGCATAGAAAATGTGCTTAATGCTTCAGATAGCTTAAGCTGGAGTGAGAGAGTGAGAGTATTGGGGAAACGTGTGCAGCAGTCTTTTGTGGTAGTTACGACAGCATAGCATAAGGATATGCCATTTGTATATTCTTTTCTGTTAAAAAGAAGGATGGATAATAGTGATGAGGAACAAGATTTGGATATGACTGGGATAATGACACGCTGGAAACACAGGAGTTAAATTTGCAAAATGATTAAAAAACCCTGTACACATCACTCTGTAGTAATCTGGGATGGTATTTGTGCCAAAGATAGAAAAAACATTTTAGACAGAATTGTAATTTTAAATCTCAATGAACCAGTCTGTTCTTATACTTGAGCCAGATTTTTACAATTTTACTCATATTAAGTCATGCTTTACTCCAAGAATAATCCTGTTGATTATAATGGTAATATTGTTCGACAGATGTCTCAGAAGAAACACAAATGTAAAAGCAGACTTTATACTTCAGATAAAAGACATGAACCATGAGTACATCTGGGAATCTGATAAAAACATATGGTGCAAAAAAATCACTGTGGGATAATGGAAATGTACTTACAGAGCAGGTCTGTTGACATGTTTACAGATCAGGCAAAGGAAACCTACAAAAAATAAATGAAAAAAGAATTATCAGTTTTCTGACCTAGCACTATTCATGTTTATATCTCATGCTAGTAATCCTATACATTGTCTTTTACTTCTTTAGGAAATAAGGAGACTATATATACAGAAATCTAAAAGGAAGAATTTTAACTTGCAGAAAAAAAGAATAAATCCATCTATTTTTTTATTCCTTAATAACTGATTTCACTTCATTTCACAGACAATGTGAACTGACAGTATTAATGTAATGCATTTTAATTAAGAGCAGTTTGCTGTAACTCACATCTTCATTAACATTTATTATTAAAACAGAATTTTCAGGCATGGTGTATTTTACCCCATTGCGTGCCGTTCTGTGTTCAAGCCTGCTATTTCTGGTATTCATCCTAACAGTCCTGACCCTTGCAAAGTCAAAAAGAATATTAACCAAACACAGGACAAGACATTTCATTTGTTCTCTTGAAAGACTTCTGAAGACTTCTAGTTTTCTGCTGAACTAATTTATCTTGTTCTCTTCCAATTCATCTGCTGGTTTTTGACTGAAATTTTACTATAAGCATATAGGAGCAGAGTCTGAGTTTTCTGTAGCTGTCTGAGCAGTCTCCAAAACAGGGGGATCCCAATGAGTGAATAAGGCTACTTGGAGTAGCAGAAATAATAATGCATATAACAATAAGGGAACACACAAGTAACAGTACAAATCACATCAATATATGCCATTTTATGTCCTGTACAAAACTTGAAAGTTTCAGGCAGTGTTTGAAGGTGTGTGTACATGATTTAGAGCGAATGAACGAGGTTCAGCTAGGTGGAGTGCTGGGTCCTGCACTTGGGTCACAACCCCATGCAGTGCTTCAGGCTTGGGGAAGAGTGGCTGGAAAGTGGCCTGGCAGAAAAGGATCTGGGGTTTCTGGTTAACAGCTAGCCAAACATGTGCCAGCAGTGTGCCCAAGTGGCCAAGACCAATGGCATCCTGGTCTGTATTGGCAATAGGGTGGTTAGCAGAACTAGGGTAGTAACCGTCCTCCTGTACTCAGGACTGGTGAGGTCACACCTCAAATCTTGTGTTCAGTTTTGGACACCTCGCTGCAAGAAAGACATTGAGGTGCTGGAGAGTGTCCAGAGAGAAGGACAATGGAGCTGGTGAAGGGTCTGGAGCACAAGTCTTATGCGAAACACCTGAGGGAGCTGGGGGTGTTAAGGCTGAAGAAAAGGAGGTTCAGGGTGGACTTTATCGCTCTCTGCAACTACCTGAAAGGAGGCTGTAGAGAGGTGGGAGTTGGTATCAAGGGACAGGGCAAGAGGAAATGGCTTCAAGTTACACCAGGGAAGGTTTAGATTGGATATTAGGAAAAATCTCTTCACCAAAAGGGTTGTCAAACATTGGGCAGGCTGCCCAGGGAAGTGGTTGAGTCCCCATCTCTGAAGGTATTTAAAAGACATGCACATGTGAAGCTTAGGGATGGGGTTTAGTGGTGGACTTGAGAGTGCTGGGTTTATGGTTGGACTCAGTGGTCTTAAGGGTTTTTTCTTAAATGATTCTATTATTCTATGAAAACTTGACCTTGATGAAGACAATAGTATTTTGTTGCTGACTGAAATGGATCAAAGAAAACATCTTAATTTCAAAAAATACAATGATTATTGGTAAGATACTTACAAAGTAATTGGAGATGGTTGGGAGAGCTGAGGGAAGGGGAGCATGCAAGAAGGCAATAAAGATGACAGGAAAAATGGATAGCAAGGAATAAGGAGAACTGAGAAGGAAACAGACTCATAAGAGTGTAAAGCAGTGGTAAGTAAGGTGAATACAGAGGATGATGAGTTAGAGGGGAGTTGGTGGCCTGCTGATGACAATTTGCCAAAGAAGAAGCTGTGACTTCAGGTGTCAGGATGAGGAAGCTGAGATCCAGCTATCTGCTGAAATCTAGAAGCACAGTTTCATGTTTGAAAAGACTAAGAGAACACTTCCAGTGATCGACTGCAGGCACCTAAGTTGCCATCTTAGCTTGAGAATATGTGTGTGCCTGCAACCATTCTGCAGCTATGCTGAGCGCTCTCCCAGCATTTACTCAACAGTGATGTACATACATCACTACTGGGCAATATAAGAAGTATGCTGATTACATTAGCAAGTTGACAATCAATAAACTTATAAATCCTCATTTAAGTGCTTGCAGACCTAATCCCAAGAACAAGACACATAAAGTTAGTAAATCAGACTCGCCGCCTTACCAGGTGTCTCATTGCAACATAATCAAACCCCCAAGGAATCAAACTGTAAATTCTAGCATAAAATACAGTAGAGAAAATATATTTTATAGATGCTTTGGACTCTGGAATTTAGAAGATTTCTGATGTCAAAATATAAGGAACTGCCTGGTCTTTCCTTCCCACATATCTTCCTAAACTTATCTTTTAAGCCTATGCTGCTTTCACCAAACAGAAGACAAGTACAAGCTTTGCATTTTAAAAAATTATTTGCAGTGGTGGGTGGTTAGGGGTAGTTGACAAGTATACTATAGCCTTTATTGCAGAAAAATTCATATTTTCAACACAAACCCAAAAAGATCCCTCCCACCTCTGGGCTGCACACATTCCCTAGTGGGATAAAACTAAGAGGAAGCAGCTCATCAGAAAGTCTCATCAGGGAAGACACTACAAGGAAAGATGCTTCAACTGCCCATGCACAAGCATCCTGTGTCTTTTAAGGTGCCCAAGGACATCTGAAACACCCACATGAGTTTGACAGAGATACTACTGGTTATAAAGGAAAAAGAGTCCCTCCTGGACAAGGAGCTAAAAGCCAGGCAAGGCTACACAGGGTATCTCAGAGAGTATTAGATACTTACATTTCAGCAAATTAATCAAGTCCTACAGTATTGAAGTCTGTCTGTTTTTACAAGAAGTCAGGCAGAGAATGGGCAGATTGCTGGTAAATCACTTGTGTCTGAGATCAAGGGGACTGCAGATGAGGCATGAAACACAAGCGCCTGCACATCAACTTCTCTTCTGTAACCTCTGTCCTCTACCAAAACAGCTGCCTCTGGTGAACATACAGCTCATAAACTAGCTTTGTCTCTAACTGCGACTGTGTGCAGCTGGGAGAAAGGAGCAGTAAAGGCACCCACATGCTAAAAGGACATCAACGAGTCTCCTCTTTCCAAGTGAAGACAGGCATGCTGGGTGCATGCCTCCTAAGCAGCAAGCGTCCTAGTCTGATTCCCATCATCCAGAAAACACTTCATTTCTGAAAAAGATCTACTCTGAAGTTTGATTCCATTCTGGCTGAGAGCAAGACACTTGTCCGTGGTGTTAATTGCTAAAAATTTGGGCCTTGCAGAGGGAACAGTGGACTCTAAGAGTATCCATATGTGACTGTATATGTACCAACCTTTGCCACCTCCAGAAACAGCAGGCTACATGTTGCCACTGTCAATGCAGTGCCATCAACTAATAAAGAGTTCATCCCCGCTGCAAGGAATTACTAGGCAAAATGATTTCACTGTGCTGGCATTCAATCTGCAGGGCAATTATCTGGTAAACCACCGCAACACAACAAGCTCTTCCCTCCCACATGATCTGAGTCAGTAGTATACCTTCATCCTCCCACATCTGATCTGCAGCAGTCTCCTATCATGAGGAAGTCCAGCTTCAGTCTATGCCCTTCCCGTCCTCAACAAATCTGCCATCCAACCATGTTGCAGTGACATGGTGGTCTGTGAACACCCCAGTTAAGGTTTGGTTGAATTGTTCTGTGATGTCACTTCGGTGGTAAATCACCAAAGTATTTGTCTCCACAGGCCATCAAAGCCTGAGAAGTTTTCTTTTCCCACCCCTGTACAGTCATCTGATGAAGCACTACTAGCAGCAGTAATCCTACAGTGTCCAAGTCCAGCCCTTGGGAAAAGCACAGAGACTACAGACCAAGAGCGAGGACCTCTGTGAGGGCATATCAGCCACTGCAACACAGGCCACGTGCAGAACAACAGAGCAGCAGCTGCACCAACACAAGGTACTGCTCATCTTCCAGCAGCTCATCTGGACATTATCTGTGTCAGGTTGAGGATAAGAACCACAAGGAGTATTTGCAGAGGCAAGAGAATGTAAGCAGAACTACAAGCTCCTTCATAAGCTGTGCCAGCTCTTCCCTGCAGTTATCCTCAGAACGGACCCAGAACTGGCTGTCCTCCTAGCTGCAGAAAACCACCACCATAATACTTCCTTCTGCTTCAAGGGTACCCTTTGTGCAGTGTATTGATCCCTGACCAAGGGGTCTCCAACACATGCAAAGTCATGGCAGCCACATATGCTGTGCCAACCAGGCACATTCCCTGGTGGTTTCTGGCCACATCAGTCACTTGTCCATCTAAACTCAAGTGGTTGGTCAGTGACCATGCTGGCCTCAGTTTCACATTGGTCAACATTCTGTGTATTCACCCCTTGTAAACCTTACTGACGTATCACATTGACCTTTAGACGAAGCGGCGTAGGTATACTGGCCAAATTTTTCTGTGCTGCCCACAAAGCCAAAAGAAGTTGTTTGTGGTTGCTCTTAAATATCATCATTTCTCATCAACAAATGGGCAGAAGAGAAGGAGAAGCAAGTAGGTGACATTTCCCATACATGAAAATTGCAAACCTGAAAATGAGAGGCAAAGTCTAATGAGGTTCTTACAGGGTTTCAGGTATCAGGAAATTAATTCGTGCATTTAGGTGAGTTAAGTATAACAGATGGTTAACAATCTATGGATGGCAAACCAGTGATTACAGGCACACTGGATGATGAAAAGTTCTGTGCTTTGTAGTGGTGTAAAGTGGTTAAGCACTAGTTAGAAGAAGGAAGGATGGGTTCTGCACTGCCTAGAAGGACATGTCACAATGTGTTTTGTGTAGGAGACAGGATTTTAGGGTTTCGGTTTTTACACTTGTTCCACCATTGCCAAAAATGCATAGACTATGCATTTTGTGTTTTATAAGTGACTGCAGTGGCTACACT